AAATATTCCCTCCGATTTTCCACAAAGTAGACAGTGTTACGCTATACTGAATAATAATTAATTCTGACAAATTATCCAAAATATATTTAAACCCAGAGCAAGTAAAATACACAATACAATACAGTCTTCGGAACACTGACACAAAAATATCGATTGTAATGGAAAAACTATATAGAGAACAAAAATATGTTTAGATAATAATAAGCCATTTTATTCATCACTTAATAAATTATTAAGAATATAATATTCTTCTATTAGTAATTAAATATTGAATTTTTCGGCGTGAAGAAGTAATGTTAAGATTTAGAAGAACAAATAGAAAATTTTATTATTTGAGGTGACTTATACTTCAATATTTTTGTTCAACATGATATAAAATGTAGTTAATTATAACTAGTATTACGATTACTATTACGAATAATTATTAGATTCTCTGATACGAATTTCTTTAGAAATTATAAGAAGCATACTATATTTATATAATGTCTAAGTAATATTTATTATATATTAATGGTACATTGTTCAATATCAGAATTGCAGATTTATACTGTTTATAAATCTCGTTTATACCTATTTCTGTTGAAAGTAACTACTATAATATTGATTTTATAAAGTAGCTTTCACAAAAACTTAAGTTTCACTGTTACTGTGCGGAAGTAGCTACACACTGAATTTTCTTCACATATTTCTAGGACTTTAATTGAAGGTGTTTGATTTGAAAACAATGTTGAATAATTGGACATTGCACTTGGACATTGGACTAGTTGGAAGCGGAAATTCCAATAATCATAGGAACTTCAGGCATTACACTGACTATTCAACAATTAATCATATCTCCACCTAAATTCTAGCTGGAATGTGTGCAAGAGGGGGGACCACTCACTGCATACATAAAACGGTAATATGTTTAGTGATTGAAAGATTAAGGCAAAGAATTTGTTGTCATCAATGCCTCCTGTATCATGATACAATGAATAACTTGATAAATAGTTTATAAAGATATGGGTAGAAGAGAATGAAATTACCATATTATATATATATATGAATCGAATGATGATGACAAATAAATTGGCAGAGGGTTACATGCTGTAGACTATTTAAATATATTTTATAGGGTTTTCTTTACATAGGAAGTTGATAATTCATGTGTATTCAAATGCATATTTTTAACTTTCTGATGGGAAACGGACATTCTTCAAATATATGAGTTACTGTCAATATCTTGTCACATTTTCGACACCGGAGAATGAAATCTATTGTTTTAAGGTGGTCAATACGGTAAGACTTCGATAATTAGCCACGTGAGGACTATTTCTCTGTGACCGTTGTTTTTGCACTTATTTTTTGTTCTTATTCAATTTGCTGACATCCGTTTAGTAGATATCCACACATCGTCGGCGTATTCTATACAGGAGGAATTATCAAAATGGATATTTGATTCGGATTTTTTACATTTTTTATTCAATACTTCAATAACTACCTACCTATATATTATAGCGACGAAAATATAGCGCTTTTTATTACTTGCTCTTCCAAAAAATATTGAAACGATGCATTCGCACTTCTTTTTGAACATCTAAGATATATATGATGTGTATTTAGCAAGATGAAGAGGGATGTATCGATTGAAGAGGCTGCAGGTAAGCGAGCTGCTTTGCAATGGTAACCCGCCATTGTCCAACCTGATCAGTATTCGTGCGGCGTAGGGTCCCATCAACCCCTCCCCCAACTTTGATAGTACCTCTGCTTATGCTTCGCTTTGGAATGGGGGCTTTTAATGTAAGTTTATGCTAATGTCCCTTCCAATCCGAAAACCATCAACTCCTCTAAATTGATCCGAAGATCGTAGATTTAAATTGAAGAAAAAAATTATATTCCTGTGCACCCTCAAATTCCAACAACAATGTATTTATCTGAATATAAAGAAACGGTTTTAAAAGATAAGGAAAAAGATAGAACATACATGTTTTCCAATATTATAAAAAATAAAATAATCAATAAAAATTAAAAACCAAACTCAAAGATAGCTGTAACCATAATGTTGTTGCTTATCATTGTAAGTATTCGTCTAACTCAAAAAGTTATTTACTCTCGAGTTGATAAAAATGTATATTTTTGGAGTGGAGATAGTGAGAAAATTCGAAGAGATAAAGCGAACAATAGTGAAGATATATATATATATTTTCATCTGTCTGTTAACATTGCTTTAGTTCATCAAAGAAATTGTACTCTGATCGGTTATCACGAAAATTAATCTAATCCAATAATTTTTTAATGAATATATTTAAAATTAAAAATATTACTTTAAAAATCGGTAGAAAAGTGATGTGAGTAGATACACCGGATTTTTTATTTAAATAATGTGTGATATAGTATAGATAATATTTATTCTAAAATTCTTCCATATGAAGGTGGGGACCAGCCTATCACTATATTTCTAAGCAATGCCTTCAATGTGTTGTCAACTAAATTTAATTAATTTGGTTGGACTTTACAATGTTTATGTCAATAAAACATCTAAACGTACATATTGTGTAGCGTTTTTTTAAGTTCTAAAGTAACTTGATCGGTAAATAACAATAAGCTAATAGGTAACTGCAAGATTTGCGAGACTCCTGCGCAAGCATTTGGGTAACACTAATAAACACGATATTGAAAGAAGATAATCAGATTAAGTATGAAAGAGAGAAAAAAAACGATAATAGATGCCGCGAAAATATATGAACACGAAACATTGACACGGTACACTAATGAACTACAATAAATCGATCAAGTGGATAATAAATTATGATCTGGCAGCTGATATCAAGGTCAGAGATATCAGAGTTCTATCTATCTCACTTCATCAGTTAGACACTGTTAAGTAAACCTGTGTAAACAAAATTCGTCAGTGCTGACTGTATTAACAAAAGTAAAATATACAGAATATGTACCACACATAAGAAGTAAAACAATGCTTATGTATTTACAATTAACAACAAAAACGTTACTTACAATGATTAAGACATTTTTTTTTAATTTAAAAAATCCATTAAATTTCAATCAATCATTAGAACATGAGTGATAAAGAATTAAACGATACATTATTCACAATACTTCTCAACTTCAAGCCAAGTGTTCTGAGAAGTTATTTTACATCACCGTCTTGAAATAAACATGATGAACGGCGATTCGGTGTATTTGCAGAACATTGAAATCGGTTCAACTATGGATTTCAGTTGAAACACGCTTCACAGGCCAGTGCCACAGCAATATGTAAAGGACATAAACGAACAAAGGAGTCCTTTTTCTTCTATTCGAATTGAATGTACAGATGATCTTCCTAAGAGATAGAGGATGAGTAAAAATTATATATTTCTATAAAATTTAAAACTTTCATTAGAAATATTAATTTAATTTTTTTTTCTTCAAAACAAAGGCTAACTTTCATTGATATATTTATATTACCGCTGGTGAAATTAAATCATATCTGTTTCCTGCGAATATAAAATTTGATAGAAGTATAGAAATATGAAATAACGAAAGCACATCTTATTTGTTATAAGAAAACCGAAATAAATTCATGCGAAAAACTATATTGTTCTCAGAAATATAAGCAGGAACAGGGAACTATTTTCTAGGAAATCTAAAAATGTAGATAGTGAAGTCTATTGATATCTACATGACAACTCGACAAACATGTGATTGGGACGAAAAACAGATTGTGATATCTGACCCAAAAGATTATCTATATGAGATTAGATTTCCACACATTCCACGTCTACTAAGGTCATGTTAAAATACAACCACAGCTTTCATAGGACATGGCCAATCACAAAACTGTGAAAATAGCTGTTTTTTCACACGAAAGATTTTTTTCGCTCTACGCCTATCGATTGCTAGTTCAAACCACGCCACGTTAAACTGTCATCCATTAAACCCGTGCTAAACTGTAGCAACAAAAGGAAAGTTAACAGTTGCAAAGAATTTAAGGAATTTCTATTAAAAAAAATATATAAAAGTAGTTGCTAACAGAGGATTGGAAAAATAACAAATTAAATTTAAAATATTGAAACTGATTAACTGATCGAATGTTTTTTTAATTTGTATTATAATTCGTTACAGTTTAGAAATACAATGATTTCTCAAGATTCAAATGCGGTACCTATACTAAATCCTCTAATTAAATATATGAATATTCATTATTACAACAATAAAAAAACAAAAACAGTATCAGAAAATAAGAAAAAACATTCGCTATCTTCAATAGTAATGAGCAAATATGATAATAAGGAATACGTGTGATGTCAAGAACAAAATTAAAAAAAAAAAAAGAAGCAAGCAAGAATATGAATAATTTAATTAAATAACAATATGAATAATTTAGCATATAAAGTAATATGAAGATAATAAAAATTCTGTATTATATAAGTATTTTTTGACCTTAAGAAATTAAGAATGGATTTATGAACCCGTCAACTTGTATAGTTTTGATACCTGAAGCATCCTTTTTAGAAACTAAATTTGAATTATTAATTGCAAATATTGTCAAAATTCCAAAACCAACTGATTTGTGTAAAAAATGGTTATGAGCAAACAGTTTTCATTAAACAACATATTTTATTGAAACGTTGTATCACATTAGAAGGAGAAACTCAATTATGATATTAATTTTGAAAAAATATTCATTATTAATCAATTAATTTAACTGTTATAGTATTAATATTAAATTAAGAATAATTACAAATATCATTTCTATCTTGCATATATCACGAACTTTTTGTTTCTGACCAAAACATACACTTTTTAGAAAAAAGTGACAAACAAATAATGCCAAATATTGCTGATCTTAGCATTTTATAACATGCTGCATATACTTTCTAAAAGGTATACACACGCGCGTGTGTGCATGTAAATATATATATATCTTTTGACGACTTAACAAGCCTGCTCCATCCCTGCATACCTTGGACTATTTCTTTCCAGTTATCTGCAATCAGCACTATTGAATCTTTGTTGATTCAATCTATACATCTGCTTTTTGGTCTTCCATGTGGTCTTTTGAATTCTATTGAGACATCTATTGTTGCGTAGACGCTTCCAGATGGATTGCTCCGAGCTGCATGCCCCGCCCATCTTAACCTGCGTGCCTTCATTGATATTGAATGACCAGTTTTTTGGTCTTTTAAAGTCTTTATTGGTCCTTCTTCACGATCTGTTACTCCTCTGATCCCAGATCCCTCCATTTATCGTGAGGAGGACTTTTCTCTCGAATCTTTTAATACTTTTCTCTAGAGCGCAGATAAGTGTATAGATCAGATGGCTTTATCTTAGCATTGTATACTCTAACTTTGAGATATTTCGGTATTTCAATACCATACCTTTGAAATATATATATATATATATATATATATATATATATATAAGGTGACAAACTGTAGTTGGATTATAGATCGGAGCTAAGGTTGGCTAAGGTAGGGATCGATGAGGAATTGGCTGGCAGCCAGTCTATTGTGGTACGCAGGCAGGAATATCACCACCCTAGAGGCTCTACACTCTGTTTAGTTCACCGATGCCATTTAGTTATCAATGGTTATTATAGTTTAAAATATATATATATATATATATAACAATAACATCTAAATGTCCAAAGAAAATAATTATTGTACAACTTGAGAGTAAGTCGACTTAACTAGCTATGGTCAGAGACCAGAGATATCTAAATAGTAATTTCGGGAAGATTCTGAAACAATTTTTTTATGCCGTAATTTCAATAAAAATAAGCTGAAGGTCCTGGAAAATTCACTGAGGTAGCGTACATCTTAAAAATGACATCTTGTACTACACAGGGTGCATTTTAAGAGAAGGATAGGGAATTGGGAGTACATACTATGATTATTGTTAGACGAAATTGGTTATTTCATAGATATGGCGTAACATATTTCCCCCTATTAAATTTAATGGGTAGAGGGAATAAATACTCCATATAATTTGTCGTATTTAATAGAATGAAGAAATACGTTTAGTGATGGGAGGTAGTGTAAAAGAAAATATTTATTTTTTGATTTCATCACTTAGAAATAAAACTATAAATCTTCTCGAAGCAGGCGTGCCCGAATAAGATTTTTGATAATTTCTTTTTATCAATTAGATTTGATAATTATTTTTAACCGTTAAATTAAAAAAAAAAACATCGATATCGAAGATGTAAATACGAAAATAAATGACCTAAAAAATCTTAATATATCCGTAAAAAATACCCCTCTAAAATTTTTTTTAGATATAGTGTTTGTATTTTAACCTTTTTAAGTATCGCGGGCATTTAAGAAAATAAGTCGTTTATCATACCCTACAAATTTCAACAAACAGACTAAGTGAAATGCATGAGTAAGGTGTGTGGAACCCAATTCAAGCTTTCTAGAAGATATGTCGGGATCCCATTCAAACCACTTTTGGCAATACGGACCAAACTTGATTCATCCCGTTACAACGTGTGACGTATTGGAATGAATATCTCAAATTTTCAGCTATGTAATACATGTTACCAGTCAAATCGGAAAGCAACATATGTATTTAAGGCATATGAATATGATGAGATGCTTAACACTATAAATGCGAAGGTTAAACGAAACGATCACAGCAGTTATTTTGACATGAGACCTAGAAATTTAGTTTCTAAACAATCCAAGCTAATTAGAGATATTATTAAAAAAAACTTTATTAAAAATACAATGAGAAAAAAATCTATACCATACACGATTTATATTTTCCACCAAACGAATATTTCTATTTCAAGGAGAAAACACCGCATGCCTATTTAATGCGACCTAGAAAGTTCAGCTAAGTTTCACCGATGCTGTTGTATTAGTCATCAGAACATTCATGAATGAATTATTAGTAAAGATTTCTCTTGCAACAATTAATTTTCAAAATAAAAAAAAATCATATAAGTTAAGCTATTTTCACGAAACGACATTTCTATTTCAATTAAGTGGGACCTAAGCAAACTTCATTTATGATTTAAAAGATTTCTCAACGTAACAAAGAACAGGTCAATATTTTCTAATTATTTAAACCGATCTTTAAATACACCGTCAATCAATAATCAATAAAAGTGAATTATAAAATAAAAAAGGAAGAAAAGTAACTGGATGTGTTTTATTTTGTTATTTAATTTTTAAAATACATTCACACTTAAACTACATTTTACTTGATTTAAATAAAAAATTAATCCAAAATATATTTAAGTATATATATAATTAAAATAGCATTTTAAGGTATAGAAGATTATTGTTATATACACTCTAATGCAATTACTTGCCGACGTTTCAATTCAAATTTAAAGGAAATAATATAAGGATTAATTTAATTGAATTATTTTTATCAGTGAATGATTTTTATAGTATAAAACAAATTATGATTTATCAATAAATTGAGCCATAACTTTATTTCTTTGGTGAAATGGACTTGAAATATTGGTTTTCAAGAGGAATATAAAAGCACCCTTGTCTGAAACGCATAAGGAATAAATGATGAACCATGTGTGTGCATGGAAAACGCATTATCGGAAAAGCCCATCGAAACATTCCTTTTATTTTTACCTTTATATATGCACGATAAAAAAAAAAAAAAGAAAAAGAAAGCTCAGTGATTTATCACATAACCAAAAAAATGGTATGCATGAACATAATGTCAAAAAATATGACATTTTTTTTTTTTATGGATTACCAAAATATTTTTATTCAAATGATTAAAATAAAAATATCAAACAAAAGGAAAATCCAGCACATACAGATAAAGTCAAATCAAATTCAAATATTCAATCGACTTTTATATAAAATAGTTGAAAGATTAATTTTTGAATTTTTATTTAAAAAAAGAAGGGTAAAACTTCAAAAACATAAAAGACGATCTGTACCTACGATCAACAATTTGTTCATTTGAAACCAGTATTGTTCAGCAAATGAAAAAGTTATTTGTCCCCCTAATTTTTCCAGACTGATAACAACGATTTATCTAATGATAATAGAGTTCAAAAGTACTCATAAAATCAGTGATAAAACTGATAAAACGGTCCCAGAAACACTGGGTTATCAATAAAAAGAATAAAGAAAATCAATATTACATAAAACGTTACACGCCAAGGAAACAAAGGGCTAAATACAGAACAGAAAATATATCTTTTATTTAATTAACACGATAATGTAATTATATAACAGAGAATTCGGTACGATTATCGGAATCGTACTCCCTCCCCCCTCTTACGATAGCCGACGAATAAAACCTTTGACCTTTTAAAATAATTTTTATAAATGTTGAAGAACATATAAAAAAATAAAATATTCAACTGGATACATGATTGCTAGTTCGATATTATTTCTAAATTGAGGGCCATTAGCGTTTCTTATATATATACAAACCATCAGCGGCATTATTATCGGATTAATACGAGAAGACTGAAAAGATGCTGATCACTTTGGCCTAGCAAGCAACTAGTTCCTATGAATCAATTAACAGACTCATGAGGCGTTAAAGCCGCTATTAGTAACCGTTCTCCTAGACACTTTAACTAATATTCAACTGGCGAGAATTCAAGTGTGTGAATAAAAAAGTGATTAATTGGAAAGGATTTTTTAATTATTATTTCATTGTTTCTCTTCATTTTATATTTTTTGTTGTACATATATCGTCTCATTGTCTAAGTGAAAGAATATGTATAATAAATTAATTATTTACAAAGTCCTCATTTAACTACTTTGGACATACGGAATCGAACAGCAAAGAAATCAAATATAATATCATCCAGCCATTCCAGTCAAAAGTCCTTCGGAAAATTGTAGATGCACCCTTTTATGTTTCAAACCTTATGTTGTACACTGACCTTAACACTCCCTTTATCACGGCAAATGCCACTGACCGCTTTAATAATTTTCATGACAGACTGACTCTAAATTCAAATCCACTTACTCAGGCTCTATCGACTGCTACAAATCCATATCATCCGCCCAGAAGAATGCTGAGGCGCTGGCCAAGAGACTTATTGAATTGAGCGACTTGCTGTATCATCTTTTTTGTGTGTTATTTTACTACTGTTCTTTTTTTTTTTTCTTTTTGTTTTGTTATTACTATTCTTTTTTTTTTTTTTTATGCTATCATTTCTTCTCCTTGATATCATATTTGCTGAATACCGAGGTAGATGGCAAATTTATTTTGAGCCAGGAATATTTGTAACTAATAAATATATAAAAATGTTATTTAAGAGAACAAGAAATCATCAACCGTAAAAGCTCCTTTTAGAAAATGTTATTTGCTCTTTCGAAAAGCGGAAAGCGGAATCAAAAGCGACAAAGTGTCATGAAATAATTTTCATATTTCCAATAATTTAGAATGTAATCAATAAAACACAGGTTGAATACAGATTCAAAGGCCTTTTGAAACATTTATCATGAGAACTCAAAGGGAACGTATGAATGCATAATCCCATTCATTAGCATTCAAATTGAAAGGGAAAATTAATTCGTTTCATTAAGTAATACATTATTACCACGATGTTATTTTTAAGATATAAAAAAATGAATAAATATATACTTTTTAATAAATAATTCTTGCATTCAACGCACAGTAAATGGCCTGGATATAAGAATAAATAAATATCTTATGAGAAAAAAATTAATATCAAAGGAATTCTGATTCCAATTATTTCGTTTCGATTGCTTATTTAAATGAAGTAAGGGTTCTAGAAATATATATGTAAATTAGGAGTACTTGGGCTATGTACACTGAACCATTTTAATTATTGTAAATTTTAAGCTCTTTATTAATTCATTATAATTATTTGAAAAATTCTTTACACCATAACAGTCGGGAATAATGTTTTTTTTTTTTTTTGAATATTGAATAATACTATTGTTTTTGAAGTCTTCACCTAATAAAACCACAGTATTTCACAAACCAGAAAAAAAATTATAAGGTACATTACAGCCGTATTAGAACACAGCTATCAACACTGGTACAAGGTCTTCCACTTTAAGGATTTCGCAAAGATACCACTAAATGATTACGTATTAAATTGAGCACATGTGTACAAACTGTCATTACGAAAATTAGAAATAACTTACATAAACATTATAAGTCAAGGATAACCAGTTTATTAAAAATAATTGAAAAACAACTATTTCAACGTTTTCTATAAGAAATCGAAATTATATAACAAATATCAATTCAAAAGCAAATATTATTAATTCAAAACTTACCTACCAGACATTAAAACTCTCAAAGAATGATTAACTCAAACTTACCTGAAACAAAAATAAAATAAAATAAATATAAGGCATAGATATGATTAGGCGAATAATTATATATATTAACTATCATTAACTATAAGCTTATAAAGTAGAATCCTATACATCTAAATCTGATAATACTGTTTATTTTTTTTTAGTATTTTGGTTTTTACTTAGCATAAACTAAGCATAATATATAAGCATAAGAAAAACTGAATATATAAAAAAACACGTTATGTCTTATTCAGTATATAATAAATTTAAATGTTAACCCTTTAATTACATTTCAACGTTATTTCTTATTTTAAATACAGAATATAGTAAGTAAGATTCCTAGTCTTAGAGTAAAATAAATCAATTCAAAGAATCAACAAAAATTAATAAATATGAAATCATAATAAATCATGAGTAACTTTTACATGTTTCTGGTTAACAAACAAACTTGTAATAAATTTTAAAAAGTGTAAATAATTCATGAATACATATTTATAAAATTCGTTAAAAATAAGAAAAATTTATTTAAAACAATTGCAGAACAGGATGAAGAGAACACGAATGAATAGGCGGGATTCAAAAGAGAGAATGATATTAAATAAGGAACAGGGACTGATAATGATCTTTTGAAAGCCGAGATTCCGTAGTCCGTTGAATATTAATCGGAGAATAGAGAATTATTAAATACCATTTTATTTTCAAATCATCAATAAACTTCATAATTGATAAGAAAACTTAATAAGACATTTTTATGTAAGCATGTAATTGGAAAAGAGAGTCCTTATAGTCTACAATACTGTTTGTACTGTGAAAATGGCATTTGAAATTTCTTTAGTTGTATAATGTTACTTACACTTATTAAAATTAAGAGATCAACTTATTACTACCTGTATTTAACTATTTTATGAATTTATTATTCAATTATGTACAACAAAGTTTGTCTTGTGTGGTTTTGTCTGAAACGTGAAGTAGACATATCTAGTAAAAATATCGAAGAGTAATCGATTATCGATAACAAAAATATTAATAGAGATTAGATCATTAATATAAAAAAATTATATCGACTTTTCAAATCAAATATGGGAAAGAAGGTAAAAAAAAATATTTAAAACTTTAGGCTGATATTATTCCAGTTTAATTAACCATCAAAATTAAAAATTTAATTTATAAACTAAACAAGCTTCTTCCATACAATCTAAAGAGGAGGGGGAGGAGGGGAGAGGACCTTTTGCAGCCCTATAAGGAGGCAATTTGAAATTAAGACACGTCTCCAGAGAGGATATTGTTCCGAGCTGCTTCGCATAACCAACGGGGGTCGTATGCTCAAAATGGAAGCTTTTAAAACAAACTGCTCAAACCAAAACAGAATTAAACAGTTTTTATTTAAATTCATAAAGTTCACCCTGACGCATCAACACGTTTATGAGTCCTTGAGTAAATTTATTATAGAGAAGAGACCTTCTCCTATTTAGTAGGAGAAAACTATTCACTTGTACTCAACAGAGGTAACAAGGACTAAATGAATCATCGTGTCTAATATTTTATTATTTTTGCTTCCTCACTACCAAAGGTAGGGAACTTTTTTTGTATTCATGTGCAAGATTAAAACCATATATTTCCCACTATCGAAAATTTACACTCGCGTAAGTCTGATACTCACCAAATTTTAAGATATATTGCAGGATAGTACCTCCTAGAAGATACGATATCAATTTCATTAAATTATATTGATGCATACATACACGTGAATATATTTTAGTATGCATATATTTCGAGCGCGGTTCGTTTAATTTGTCTGAAAATTGGAGGAAATTTGGGAATTAGCGAAAAACTTTCCGTTTTATAACTTTTTTTCCGAATACGGACGGATGCCATAGCTACGCGGTTTCCTTGTTATGATGCAACTGACGCATATATCTCAAAAACTGCTATACTACAGTTATGAGAATAAATATCTTTCAACTAGGCATAATATTCACTGGTGTTGATTCTATTTTGTAATACTTTCTCGGGTATAAGCTTGGTAAGAGAAAACGGTCCAATATAAGCTTTATTAAATCTGCCCACTTTTTAAGAAATTCCTTGCCAAGAATATACTTCATTAACGTCTTCTTTTGCAGATTTTATCCTCAAATGACAAATCATAAACCTTGAGATAAATGAAGCGGAAGATGACCCTACGTGGTAGTTTTTAATTTTATTATAATATTACATCACCAAAGTCTAAATTGACTCCAAAGAGCTCAAGGAGTTGCTCAAACACGAAAGTTAAGTACCCAGCGTGACCTACATCCTTTCGTGATGACAGCTTGAGTCACGAGAGGTCTCTAGTTTTGTCATTATCCCGTCGCTCATTCATATCTAAGTAGAGAACATGGGGATTTGTATTTCCATATGAAAAGAAAAAAAAACTTCCGTTGCATTGTGTCAAAAAAAAATAAATACAATAAAATAAAATTACTAAACAAACTTTATTCAGGAACTAATTTCCTTAAGAATAAACACTGTGAAGAAATAAATTAAATACAATATTGGCTGGAGTCAAAAACAAAGTAACCTAAGTTCAATCATTATAAAAAAGTTAACATATATAAGCAACAAAAGAAAAGAAAGAGAGAAAATAAAATAGAAAATTATTAATTAATCCACGAAGTATTAAATCTCAATATAAATAAGAAATTTTAAGACTGAAGAGATAATGTTTTGAATATATAAAATTCAATGGAAATGGTAGGATTTGAATGAGGTTAGAGAAGAGGCATGGAGTACATTAGATGGTAAGGAATTGCAGAAGGCGGCGGACTGGTAAAGAAAAGAATGTTCAAAGGTTGTAGTTCTGAGGGAAGGAGTTTGAAGGTCAGAAACACAGGATCATGTATATCGTGAGTAGACTAAAGGTTTGAGATACAGAAGACTTAAGATATAGGAATGATGCTGAAGTAGATCATTTGGTATACGTAAGATCCAAGGAAATGAAGCCAGGTAAAGAAGAATCATCATTAACTCTCCATAAATGTGGAATTGCCTCAATGTACTCAAGACAACAAGAAATGTCAGTAGAGAATACTAATAAGCAATGTCAATTTGTGTTTATGCCAATTATTTTGTATTATTGTGTTCTATTATTAGTTTAAGTGTTTATATTTGTGTTGTTTATCGTTTTGTCGTTATTATTTATAGTTTTCGTTAGTTTACAGTTATGATTTATTGTTTTTAATTGGTTTTTTTGTGATAAGAAGAACTTTGTAGGTTAGGTAACCAAGTGGTTATCAACGAAGTGTTTAACGCCTAAAGTATAGAATACTACAGACAATTCCAGAAATACTATAAACGGGCTTCAGGTAAGACTGTATATTCGTTTATATAGGTAGATTGTGCAATAACATTTTTCCCACCGTATCAAATTTATTTAGGTTAATTGAATATTGAAATATTATTATATTTCAAATAATTTTTTTTATGATGGATAGTAAAAGTTCCAAAATGGAAGAAGTGTCTATCGAAGGAAGTACAAACCAGGATCATCGGTCGTCGGCCAAACGACCAAGAAACAGATCGACTGACACCGACGAGGAAACGGAAGAAGGGAGTAAAAGGAGCTTCTTGCATGAGGCAAGAAGCATTCAAAGCAACCTAAAAACGTTCCTCAAGAATTTTGACAAAAAAATGAATAACACAACGAGGAATTATATTAATGATAAAATCGAAAAATTAATTGATATTATTGAGGTTACTTACAATACAGCCAAGGAACTTAGATATCAATACAAAGAAGATACAATCACAACACTTGTCCAAAAAGTGGTTAAACAAACATTGGAATCTCCATATGTACTTGAACTCATCAGTAGCCAAATTTTGGAAAAACCGAAAACAAGGCAACCGGAGGAAGATAAGCCAATCCAGCATCCGCCTGCAGCCATAGCCGGAACTTCCAAGGAGGCAAACAATGCTTATTCTTGTAATCTAGACCAGAAGGAAAACAAAACCTTCGAAGTCGTTCAAAGCAAAAGAAGCAAGAGGAAATCTAAATTGCAGCAAAGAAGAAAAGACGAAATTCAGGATCAAGAAAATAAAGATGAGACACCAGTGCTTGGAAACATCCCTAAAAAAGATAAGCCAAGGACGATGGCAGATATCGTAAAATCACTGCCTATGAAGCCGACCCTGACAACAAAACCAACATATCTTACAATTAGTGGTTCGGGTAAAAGCCCAGCAGATATCATAAATGGACTTCCGTCACCTAATGACATAGGTGTAAATGCATCTATTGTTCGGGCAACTAAAGCAGGCTCAGTTTTGGTCCGCATAGAGGACAGCTCTCATGCAACCAGAGTGATAGGATGGCAGGGCCTGCGGGAGAACGGGTTACAGGCAAAGTTAGCGCTGAGGAAAAAGCCTAAGATGGAGGTAAGGGGTGTACCCCACTCCTGGGGCGCAGATGAACTTTCAAAATTTCTTTGGGAAAGAATACCCGAGAAGTCGGTCCCAACACCATTGATTAATGACGACATCCGACCTCTTTTTTCCTCAACTGCTAAAAACGGTTTTACTAAGAATTGGGTGCTGGAGGTGCACCCAATGGTTCGGTTCCAGTTTTTAGACATAGGTAGTTTGAATGGAGGGTGGTGGTCTTTAACATTTAAGGACTACCTCGACGCCCCTCGGTGCACAAAGTGTCAGGGCTACGACCACACAAAGGCCACATGCACGGCAGATGCTGTTGTATGTATTTGGTGTTCGAATAGTGGTCATATGATAAATGATTGCCCAAAGAAAAAGGTAATGGCTGACCCGACTTGTATTAACTGTGTGCGGGCGAACACCCATCCCAGCCAAATGAAGCACAAGTCGGGAAGCCGGGAGTGCCCTGTGCACTTAACGTGGTGCAAGGAGGTGGCTAAAAGGACATATTATGATTAAGATCAACATCCTCCAGTTAAACATGGGCCGGCGAAGAGTTGTGGCAGATGAGCTTCGTGCTCTTTCCCAACGATATGATATCATGGCGGTCCAGGAACCGACCTGCCGTGGGAACGTGGTCACAGGTTTTGGTCTCACGTCGAGGGTTATAGCTCTAGGCAGTGGAGAGAGGAGGCCTAGGGCTGCTATTGTGATAAACAATCCTAACCTCGACGTGATGGAGCTGAGGCAATACTCTATGGCAGATAGTGTGGCATGTTATATTAGGTGGGGTAATGTATCTTTTACCCTGGTTTCGGCCTATCTTCCTAACGGAAGAGATATTGAAGAAGACATTTCTGCCATGGAAGTTATCACAGCCCACTATAGAAATGTGATTATTTGCTCAGACACCAACTCCTGGAACACGGTCTGGGGGTCCAATCGAACAGACAGGAGAGGTGCTAAACTCAACGAGTTTATTTCTAGAGGCCAGCTAGTCGTCATAAACGATGTCTATGCCCCACCTACGTTCTCTGGAGGTATGGGTGAGAGCTGGATTGACGTCACGCTGGCCTCGCCGACACTTATAGGGCACATTGTCGATTGGACTACCAGATCTGAAACGAGTTCTGACCACAAAGTATTGGCATTCAGCCTGGTTCAGTACTCAGAAGGTTCCCACGGTATCAACACTGGCTTCATAACCCGTAGAAATGATTGGACTGCTTTCCGTTGCATGTTGGAGGGAGAACTCGCCGATGAAGATTGGGAAGTAGCAGAATCGGAGATCACAGATAACCTGGACTACAGAGTATCCCTGGTCACCAATGCTATCCTCAATGCCGCTGAAAACTCCCTCCAACATCGGAAAGCGAGAGCTCAACCAGTCCATGGTGGACGCCGGCCTTAACAACAATGAAGAGAGAGATCTACAAGGCACGGCGGTCGTACCAGAAGTGCAGATGTGACGAGAGGTGCGCTGCCCTTCGCAACGAGTATAAGTACAAAGCCAAAGTATACCGAAGAGAGGTATGTTCACGAAAGCGTAGTTCCTGGGATAAATTTATTGCAGAAGAATCCTCGAAGAATCCTTAGGGTATCCCATACAGAGTCGTTATGGATAAGTTCAACCCTCCGCAGACAATAGCAGCTCTTAAGTATGGAGATGCGCAGGCAACCACCTTCGATGAAGCGGCTAACATCTTCATAAAGGCGACATACCCCAGAGATGATCCATCCCAGGACAATGAGAAGGAAGCTTTCGTGCGACGTTCTACGTTATACCCTCCTGGCACGGACTTATGCCCACCGTGGGACATACATGATCTACGTATTGCCGTGGAAAAGCAGAGAACAGGACGTGCTCCAGGACTCGATTCAATAGACGCGGCGATCTTAAAGAACAGTATCCCCTACATTGATGAGCGATTATTGAGGATTTTCAATGATTGCCTGGATCGGGGATACTTTCCAAAAATGTGGAAGATCGCCGATTTGAGACTCCTCTACAAGGGAGGAGGCAGGGATAAGCAGCTCCCAAAGTCATATAGACCTATATGTCTCCTCCCTATAATGAGCAAGGTCCTGGAGAATCTCATCTTAACCAGCCTACGACCAGTTCTCGCAAGGGCTAGCCATCCGCGGCAATACGGTAGTACCAAGGGAAAGGGAACCGCTGATGCCCTGCTTCGAGTACAAGCGGACGTTGAACAGAAGGCTGAGCGGTATGTCATGTTGCTGCTTTTTGACATATCCTCCGCCTTCGATAGTGTCTGGTGGCCGCGAGCACTTCAGCAGCTACAGAAGTACGATGCCCCCAGCAATCTATACGTCCTCATAAGTAGTTATCTCCAGGACAGATTTGTTAAGGTCAGAGGTAGCTCTTATGAAACTGAAGCTTCCATAGAGAGGGGATGCCCTCAGGGATCAGTCCTTGGTCCGACTCTATGGAAGCTAGTGTTTGATGAGTTGCTGGGTGTGCTCGAAAATGAGCGGTTCCCTGCTACGGCTTACGTCGATGACTTGGCGGCAGTGGTAGCGTCAAACAGCAGAGCCGGAATAAAGCTACAAGCAGAGCGGTGCGCCAATCTGGTCGGGCAATGGTGTGAGGAGATGAAGTTACAAATGGCCGCATCAAAGACCCAGGCGATCCTGCTGAAGGGAAAGACGGATAGGGCACACCCTATCAATCTGTGTATACAAGGAACGAGAATACGTCCAAGTGAGGTGGTCACCTACCTTGGCATAAGGTTTGGAAGAGGATTTAATATGACCCCTCATTTGGACTACTTAGGAAGTAGGGTGGCCCTAGCCTTGAATGGACTTAGTCGCCTAGGGGGTGCATTTTGGGGCCTCAGATACCCAGCTACGAGGATCATTTACGATGGAATGATAGTGGGTATTCTGAGGTACGCCTCTCCTGCGTGGTCTCAGAATCTCTCACACCGTCAGAAACGCAGATTGGCGACAATTCAACGTACGGCTCTGTTGCGAGTCACAAAATCATACCGAAGTGTGTCTCACGAGGCGGTGCAGATCTTAGCAGGAGGGGTACCTCTCGACCTTCTCCTGCGAGAAGACTCGCTAATATTTAAGTTAAAAAGAGAAGGCTCAGCAGGTCTTCCGGAGAATATCCGGGTGAGGATTGCAGAAGACCCAAGAAAATGGAAGAGGATTATCCGGGAAGACACCATAGATGAGTGGAATCGGCGGTGGGTAACAACGTTGAAAGGAGCAACTTTAAGAAAATATTTCCCCACCGTCCGAAGTCGCTTGAAAGCTAAGTGGGTTCTCCCGGACTACTGGGTCTCTCAATTCCTTACTGGGCATGGGGGTTTCCGCTTTAAGTTACATAGTTTTGGAAAAGACATAGATCCCCTATGCCCCACTTGCGGAGTACCGGAGACGGCTGAGCATATTATCGTCAACTGCACCGCCTTTGATGGACTAAGGGCCGAAATGATAAGAAAAATGGGAATCTATGGCCTCATGGAAGATGAATTTCCTGAGTTAGTAACGGAGCAGAACTACCCGTATTACAAAGATTTTGTGTACGGGTGGAAAGCTGCTCTGGGACCCTCCCACTTTAATCTAGGAAGAGAACCTGCTAATAGAAGGATACCAGAGTAATATATTGAAAATAAGGAAAAAAAAGAAGATATTTGAAAAAACAAAACAAAATTGAAAATTAATTTGTGGTTTAATAGCAGGAATGGCATGCACGTGTGTGATATGCCATCCCTGCAAAATCCCGTGTAGCCGAAAGGCAAGGAAGGGAGGCATAAATAAATAATAAGCAATGGAAGAATAATTGTCCAGCAAAATAATAATAATGCGTGGCAGCAAATCCTTATCAAAGCTAATTTGTTGTCATCTGTTATACCTATTCCAAAACAGCCAATTCACCTTATGTCCTACAGCAAGAGAGGACAATTCTCGATAATGAAATAAAAATAACTAGTCAAACAAACGGCAATGAACCCGCTGGCCATAAGTGGTCTGCTTGTACGAGGCTCCCATTTTTTATTTATTATTTTTTTTCAAGACCTCTCCACAGAACAGGTTCTGTTTCAAGACCGAAAATCACTTAGGCCATAGCTTGCGCAATTACGAAGCAGGTAAGGAGAAAAAGAAACGAGAGACCGCAACGAATGGAGCAGGTTAACTAATCACGATGGCAGTGGTCAGTGGGGCAGGTGAGGTGGGAGATGGCCTTCAAGATCTCGGCAAGTACTCCTGTTTCTTTTTCTTTTAAAAAAGAAAAAAAAAAAAAAAAAAAACGGAGTAGTACTGCAAATGCGCTGGACTAGTAATTATCAGCACTGCGTTCTTGCTAAATTAGTCCGTTCTTTCCGTTTATTTAAATGAAGAGTTCTAAATATACATCTTTTATTGGATGATACCCTTCTTCCTATTTCTTTAGGCTTACATCTAATTAGTCGCAAAATCCTGTAAAAGATTAATGGTACGGACAATAAAGAAAATTTCTATGTATTTATTCTGTTAGTTTTTCCTATTTTTGGTGTCTTAGTGTTTTAATTTTTTATAATTTAATGCCATATTCCACCAATATTATAGTATCATTCTTGACAAAATTTCAGCCTAAACTAGGGCCATTTTCTAGTCTAGAAATTTTGTTATTATTAGATTAAAATTAAATTTATTTTACATAACTTTATATAATTTCCTATCATGTACGTAACCTTTCCAAATTCGTATGAATTGCATTATCTTAATCGAGTCTTTTAACTAAGCACCCATATTTAATATATTTTTTCTTAATCTAGGAAGAATTAAATTTTCCTATTATTTTAGGTTTTCCCCTTCGTCGTCTATGGAGGGACTGACTTATCATCCTGGAGGGGACAGTAAAAAGGACATATTGATTTTTGTAGCATTACCTCCGAAAATAATCAGATTAAATAAAAGTCTTTTTGAATCAAAGTATCAAAACTTAAAAAGGTTTCAGAAACTTCAGAAGAGGATTATGGGGTTAGAGATGTCTGAGAAATATATTAGTCCAACTAACACTTCGGCATCCAGTAGTGGTCTACTTTGGATCAGATGAGATATAATTTGGTATGTTGAGGTATTTTACTAAAGAGATCAATACTATAATAGTTTGGGCAAATCATATCAGAATTTCACTATGTTCAAACTTTTTTTTTTGTGCCTTTCTACCTAGTTTTAAAGTTTTGCACACTTCAACAGTTGGAAAGATGAACTTTTTATTGTAAATTAGGTAATGTTGCAGGAGTGCCTTTCGGCGTCCAAGAAGCTCTTTAGATTTTTACATAATTAACCCCCCCCAAAAAAAAGTTTCTAAAAAAATTATGATTATAAAATTTCATGAGCGAATAACAGCAAAGTACGCATTTATGAATGTATCAATTTAAAATATGATAAAATAAAAGAAAAAATAAATTTTTTTCCTGCTCAAATGAAAAACCTACCTGCATTTTTTTTTTTTTTTTTTTATGAGATCTTAAAATCTCTAGAAATCTTTAAGAATATTCCTAATTCTCGTTTAAGAATTAATCAATTTTTCAACATATCTAAATGAAAAAATAATTTTTAAAGTCAAGATATTTTTTATACTTTCTCTTATAAGGTATAAAAAGACGTATGAAAGAATATACTACACATATTGAAAATAATCAAGTCGTAACAAAGTAGTCCTACCGGAAGTTGAAGCGAGATTTATACAAGTTATAAATCTAGGATTAATTTTTATTTATATTAAAAATTTATTTGTGCAATTCAAATTGATTTGATCTTTAATTTTTTTAAATATTTACATTATTATAATAAAAATATTTCATTAAAAATGTTTTTTAACTTCTAATCTATTTCCTCAGCTCAGCATTATTGTAGTATTAATTGTCAAGTAAGATTTCCAAACAAAAACTAGATAAAATTACGACCTAAGTTAAGAAGCTCTGCATCATACTTTTTTCTTCAATGTATGTGATCTGGGTCACTAGAGATTAGATAAATGTATTTATTAATTACAAGAACGATCTTGCAGTTTTTACCATTATCCATTTGCTCACTAAATAATTAACCACACGATATGCTACTCAAAAAAAAATTAATGACCAGTACAATATGAATATGAAATGAATTATTCTTTTTAAATATACGTCGTATTTTTAAATCAGTACATTTGATAAATGAAATATGAAAAATGATTGTAAAATGCAAATTTGAAAAAATAAATTAGTTTTTTTAATATTGTAATGAGCATAGAGCCTAGCCTAACAATCAAGTAATTCTGATCTCTTCGGCTAAAGACACAAACAAAATTAAAAAAAAAAAGTATTTAATTATATTCTTAGCTAAATCATTAATTTACTCATGAATATATTTTCATTATTATATAATTAGAATATTATGTCTAACTTTTATTAAAAATACATCTTAGTAAAGCTTTAAATAATATTAGTACTTAATACAACTTCAATAAGAGTGAATTAAAAATTACAAATGCCTCAGTATCTTATCCTGAGAAGTTAAAACATACCCAGACCTCCCTTATAGGGGAAAAAAAAAAAACCTCCTCAGTAGTCAAAGGAACCAAAACCGGTTTTTGAGAATTTTTAACGGCTTCTTAATAAAGCCAACCCCAATATTTAAATACTAGCAAAATGCATCATACATAATTTCAAATCGTAATTGTATTAGGCATCAAAGCATACAATTGTGTTAATAATTAATTACGCAGAATAGCAAAATTAAGTTCCTTATTTAATTTATTTATTAACCGAATAACAATTAAATTATTCGCCAGTAAATAGATTAATTGGACAGAATTAAACAAAATATTTATTATGATATCACTTCTTATAAAGAAACTATATAATAATTTCCGCTTGTTCGCTGGCATTGAAAGAATGAATAACATTTTATTACCCAAATTAAAAAAATCATCAGAATTCCCTATAATTAAAACAATGTACCATTCAGGGACTGTAATGAGAATTTTTTTTAGAATATTCCGAATAAAACAATTATTTCTAGTACGTAAACGTCTTGTAATTATACAATGGCAATAACGCGCTGTGTAATTGTTCAAAGTCACGCATTCCTCACTACTTTTTATACAGATAGATATGATATATCTTATGAAATAATCTATAAATATGAAAATAATGTCACGGAATGTTACTAATATTGACTAGAAAAAAAATTAACCACAATACCACAATTAAATTAAATTAATTAAAATCACAATTGAGTTAATATGTTTGCAAAAAAACGTTTTTAAGGATAAATATTGTTTTTTATCTGTTTTCAGCGATAGCGCCATAAAAATAGAGGTGGCTTCATAAACCCAATAAATATAGTTGACAAATAATTTACAAAGCAACTAATTTTAACGATGATAATAAATAATGATTATTAAATAAATAATTACAAAACGATAGGATTTAAATTCTGTCTGAATGTAACACAAAACATTTAAAAAAAAACTGGCTAAAATAATTTTAAAAATACATAAATGAAAATAATCACTTAAGAAAGATGATACGAGACTTTCAGTTGACAGAATGGCTAACTTTAATTTCAACATTTTTTATAATTAATTCAAGCGATATTTCAACTTTCACCAACTCAACTTACTCACTGTCTGTACAGATTTTATAAAATATTCAACTAGAAATACCACTAAAAAGACTTTAGTGAGTTTATGACGTCATTCTGTAAACTGAAAGTCTTATATATACAGAATCATGTGTTTTTTAAAAGGATTAGCAAATTAATTTTGAGATATTATTAATACATATAAAAATCAGAAGAAAATAAATATGTAATGAATGAATAATAATTCCTTATCAACTTATATTTAAGGTATCGAGATTTGAAATCTGGATATAACACACATTTACTTATTTATTTATTTACATTGAAAACATTTTCTTCATTTTTATATTGATTAGTTTTGTTACTTTTCTATATTGGTTAAAAATAATTATAATAGAGTTATTATTGCAGGAAATCATATTTAACAATTACTTGATACTTTATAAACTAATACACTAATGAATAATTGATTTCAAAATTAAACATAATATACTAATAATTAATTTATGTTAAAGAACGGATTTGGCTGCTATATCTAAATGGAAGCGCTCTGTACGATATGAAAAACGAAAATAAAGGAATATATAAAATAAAATGTATGACAAATAATATTATAATGCATTGGAGAAGCACAAATATAACCAGAAGGAATGACAAGTTTAGGATCAGAGGTAATCATACAATGACAGAAGCAATTCGAACGGCTCATACATCAATGCAACACTGAAATTGACAGAACAGACAGTCAGTAAGGTAGATAAGCACAATGGAGCAGAGATCTAGCCTAACTGGGCGACCCTCATAACTCACAGTAAGCTCTTATCTCGGAGTTCTCTAGGATCGTACTAACAGTTCCCTTCACAGAGCGGTATCTAAATAGCAAGGATCCTTGCACAACGCCACGAAAAAAAAAAAAATCTTTAATACAAGTAAACCAGGAAGAGAGTATAAAGTTGTAACAAACAACCTTAATTTGAAATAGGCTGAAATTCGATTGAATCTATACATTATACGAGCCAGAGATGAACAAGATTGTTAAGGTATCATGAACTTGAGCAGAATTAAGTTCGAATCCGGCTTGAGTGAATTGAAATTTATAAATGAAGCTTAAATGTAAAATTTGCTTCTTCACCTTAGTTTGAATCACTCAAGCATAAAATTTAATACTTCGGAAGAAATACTTAAATTACAATAAAAAAATTGTAATGAGTAGTCTCAAAACAAGCTTAGAATGTTGTTTATCTATATTGTTTATTTATATAATTAAAGATATGTTAATTTTCACAATTTTTTTTTGTATACTCTTCAGATTTCCGTTTCAGGTAACAAAAGTGTATATACATAAGAGCAGTAAAACTATCCACCTCAAGTGATGTACAGAATTTTGGACATAACATATTCATTCTAGTATTTTTTTTCTATCCAGTCAAATTTATATATTGACTTATGAGACGAAAATTAAATTTTAAAGAATCTACTGTTCATAAGGAGCTATTAAAAAATAAACATAATATTTTATTTAAAAAAAAAAAAACCAATATTGCTTTAAGCACAATTAGCTAAGTAGTAAGACTGATTACCCTGGAACAAATACTAAATCTATACCGGTAAATACTTTACATGTATTATAAATATATACTTGAAATTAATAAAGAACCTAATTTCAATTTATAAGTCCGTGTGACATAACATAGGGACATAATATGACCTTCTCAGAAATAGGAAAATAATTCAATTTTTATTCCTGGTTCCCCCACGAGGAGAATTTCTCACCGATAGGGTTAAAAATAGCTCAAACGACTTCTGAATCCATATGACTGATCCAATGACTGACTTCCTATATATATCGTAAATACATACAAAATTTCTATAGCTCATGCAAATAAATTAAAAATTCCAAGATTATTTTTCTTATAAGCTTATGAAATTCGCCACTCCTTTGAGAAAATAAGAAGCAGTGTTTGGAGTAATTCATAAAGTTAAGCACAAGAGCTCAGAAAAGTAATTCTAACTAACTAAGTAACAAAAGTAATTCAAGGAAAAAGCAAAACGAGTTAAATATGTAAATTAAAAAAGATCTCGAAAAGTTTTTTCTCTCAACAATCAACAATTTCCTTTAATGGAGGTACTCGAGGAATTAAAAAGGAACTCCATTCGAAGAATTATGTTAATTACAAACTACAACATTAAGTAATTGTAAAAAACATACAAAACCGAATTTAATTTTAATTAATTAAGAACTTGCGATGTTTATAGTAGACATTTAATTTTAAAAAAAAAATAACAACGTCCATTTCTCGTTGTATTAGTAATCAAGGTTATTAAAATGTCTATACCTCATTAATTATTTTAGTTCAATTATTTATTATGTAATCAAAATTTTAAAATATGAGGTTACATGTTAACTAATAAGTAAAAGTGAATCTATTATATGATCAATAATTATTTATTAATTAATCATTGCCAAGTTATCAAGTTAAAAATCAATCATTCTACCTTTACCTTGAAGTAACTCAAAACTTAAAAAAAAAAAAAGGCCCTGATAATTTACTTGTTTTTTTCATTCAAAACATTTACGTAAATTATTATTATTTTTTAAAAAATATATTAGTACTTTTGAATCTCTACTTTTTATAACACTTACGAAGAGAAACTCTG